AAATGTTTCTGTGCTATTAGGAAACTAGAATCCGTGATACTTTCATGGTATTTACCTCAAATAGAATCTCAACTGGGCTTGAAAAATTTGCAAATACACCACCTTTTAGCAAAGACCAGCATCCATTCCTAGCCACAACTTCACCACCACGAACAAGTTCGCCCCCAGAAATTTTGAATAGGACAGCCACATTTCCACTCCCTTCATTGATTTGAACCCAAGCTGAAATTTCAATTAAGCTCAGTTAAACTTTTCAGGAAAATGAAAAAAGAAGAAAACAGAGATCGAAAACAAGTATATCATCGATATGCTAGTTTTCTTCGATTTGGCATTGATATCTTTAATGATCAGCTTTCCCCTTCGTAGGAAAATGGGATTTAAGCAAAAAAATAAATTCTTCTAATTGAGATAAATGGAAAAACACATACCAGAGAAGCTGTAGAGCTTTCCTTTCTCTAACTGAACCTTCTGGGAAATGCTGTCTAGTGGCTGACTTCTGCCATGTGCAACGATATATCTGTTTCCGTCCTTGGATATGCCTTCTTTCATCGCTCCTTGTCCAAACACAGTCCACCCTCGTATTCCATGAGTGAAATCTGGATTAGCTATTATCCCTCCTTCATATTGAGCTCTCTGGGGCTCTATCAAGCACTGCTCAAAAAATTTCAGAAATATAGTTTTCAATGATCTATCGCTAACATTTTCTCAGGGATAATTTGCAGGAAGTGTGGGCGGTGAAAAGTGGTCCTCCTTACCTCTGTTGTAGCAGAATAATCATAGGAGAAAGCATGAATCCTGCACGCTGCATTGGTAAATGAAAAACATAAAGGCGAGAATCCATTGAAGACATTAACTTACAACAGCTAGCGCGCAAATACAGTCTCATAAACCAACTTTATGTTTTATTGCTCCCAGTGATTTTGTGATTTCTATTTAGTTTACATTTTTTGAACTTCATATAATTTAAATAAAATCCATTCCTTTAGCAGTCAGCCTCTCTTTGTCCTGGCAGTCTTGCGTGTGTGTGTGTGTTTGATAGAAAGAGAGAGACCTGAAGACAGAAGAATGCATAAATGCAACAATAAGCAGCCTCCTGCTAGTATCTTCATCATTTCACAGCACAAGCAAACAAGCTTTCCCTGAAATATATGCTATACACCCTGAAGAGAAACGTCAGTCCAAAATCATTTTCATTTTGTTTTTCTAAAATGAAATAAAAAGCCTATAAACCACCTAGAGCCAAAGAAACAAGACCATGGACGAAGGTGAAATCTTTTTTAAAGAACGTCATTAAATGCATGTCAAGTTGCCAAGCTTGGGACAGTGTTAATCACTGAAACTTACCTCTGCTTGAGGTTGGCCCGTGAAACTTACTTGGAATTATATAGCGTTGTTGTGACTGCTGTACAGTAGTACTCGCAATGAAGAGAAAATTGCAGTCGGTGGAAACTCGGTTTCATTTTATTCAAATCCATAGGGTGTTTATTTATAGGCACCTAAATACATAAAATAGAAAAACCTAATAATAATAAATTTTAAGTAAACTAAAATATTAAAATTAAATTCCATATTGCCTGATTTTTTTATATAAGAAAAAGATTTTGAGTTTTTCTCATTGGTATACAAATTAACAAATTAAAGGAGCTCAAGTTCTAAAAAATAAAAAGATTTGGTGCTGATGGTGTCAAAGATATGACAGTTATAGTGAGGAGTAGTTCATTTGGAATTTACTTTTAACCATACCATTCTTGATGTCATGAGCACGACAAGAGAAACTATGGGCTTGGTTTGGAGTTTACTTCCTATGTGTATTCGGCAGAAATGTTGATTGTTTTGAGTGCAATCCACATGAGAGAATAATGCAGATTCTTATTTTGACAAAAATAGGCTGAACTCGTTTACATTGGCAAATAGATATAGTTCCTTAGTCATTTAAACTACCTCGACAAGACCTTGTTTTGAAAAAATTCCTCTGAAAGTTAAATTCAAGACGGGTTAGTCACCCCCTAGCTATGTGGGACAAGGGACCTCGTTTATTTTCTGACAAAAATAGTTCGTAAACTCACACACATTGCCATAGAGGTACAGTTTCTGGTAAATTAAACTATCTCTAAGAGGCAAGGCCATTTGATCCGGTCCAAATGCCTAAGAAAATATCCGTTTTGTGCTCCTTTTTTGACCATTTGTTCTGCCTTCCCTTCGGTGGTTAAGACGACAAAGCAAGTAAACACTAGCAAGTTGTGGTATCCTCCATGAAATTACTGATATATATATATATATATATATATGATGTTAATTTTCATCTTTTCTTTTTTCTCTTTTTATATGCGTGCTTCCATGTGAGCATGTGGGATGTAGAACCCGAATCCAAGGTTTTTACCCAAACTGACTCCGTCCTCTAGGCCGGTTTACCACCGAAGCATTTGATAGCAATCTGCTAGGTTTTATCTCTGCAACCTTTTTTGGATTACATACATATGGTATCTTTGAAAATGCCAGCTCTCTTTTCAATTTTTTGAGAAATTGAATATGCCGATCTAAACGTAGTCCTAATGTCTTAGTAGATTAGCAGGTGTCAACATAATCTAATTAATCTTCAAAATATCAAAAAGAAGGATACTACTACACTTGCCTAATTTATTTCGAGCCTGAACTTTTGACCATATAATCTTATTTACTAATATTATCACAATGTCATATAATATCTCATTTTATTCCTGGAAAACTCCATTAATATATTTTTGGATCAAAAACAGAAAAAAAGTAAAAATCGCTATAAATATGTTCCCAACGTGCTAAACCTTTGTAGACAGTAAGCTATAATTTCTTGAAAAAGCATAGTCCTAGCTACTGAAGGCTTGATTGGGTGTTGTTTATGTTGCACAGTTGGCCTTCCATCTTCATTCATGCATGTGCAATACAAGTCGGATTCAGGTAAAACCAGCAAAATAAATTTTCTTCTGACATTCCAAAATGTCTAATTATGGCGTACTATATATATGATCGTTCCTTTTTTATTACTCACTTTTTTTGTATTCATCCTGCCCCTTCATGCTTCAACGGATCAACTGGTTTATCCTTTTCTTATCAAGTTTGTAGTGAGTTACAACACAACTCACATTATTTTTGTGAACTTATACTACTTTGTGCTTAATTAATTAGAAGAGAAAGTGAAGGTGATAGGATTCGAATTCACGATTATTTAGTCATTAAGTTCTAATACCATATCAAATATCTTCTCATCAAAAAACTTAAACTATTAAATAAGATTTCATAATATAATTTATATTATTCTCCAACAAGTAGCATGAATAGATTAAAGACAAGAGTGATGGGTTCGTGTCATCAAACTCGGGGCACTTCTTCAAAGTGGACCAAGTATGAAATCCATATTGCCTTAAGATAAATACTGAGTTGGTTTCTTGTATCATCAAATTCATAGCTCTGATGAGGTGCACAGACAATGTGGAAGAATCACTTACAAAATATAGGTATTATTATCTTTAAAGTTAGCCAAAAAAAAAAAATCGTGAAAGATTTTAATGTTATAGGGGAACTCTATCCCACTATCTGAGAGGCAGATTACCTATAATAATATAGGTATTATTATCTTTAAAATTCATTGCTTTGTTGAGGTGTACAGACACTGTGGAAGAATCACTTGCGAAATAAAGGTATTATTATCTTTAAATTTCATTGCTCTGTTGAGGTGTACAGACAATGTGGAAGAATCACTTACAAAATATAGGTATTATTATCTTTTAGGGAAAAAAAAATCGTGAAAAATTTTTAATGTTAAAGGGGAACTCTATCCCACTATCTTAGAGGCAGATTAGCTAATTCTATTTATATACTTAGATATGCAACGTCTATATTATAAATAATCTAGTGCCGCTGCAAGGAACTAAAACGGTGGTATTTTGAGTCTTTTTGGATTGAAACAATTTTGATTTTTTCAAAAAAAAAAAAAAAAAAAAAAGGTGTTTTTTTTTTCAATTTATCCAACTTTTTACACTTTAATCCTTTGCTTTATATTTTTATTCAAATCGGTCTTTAATTAAATATTTATTGCAGAAAGGTCTCTGTGTTTTTATGGCCTGGCTGTGCTTCTGGCCCAGGGTCGTGGATTCAGTTGTTTCCAGGCCCATAGTAATGGCCTTGTGTTAGCCCAACCAAGCCTTTTTGGGACTTTTTTATACTTTGTTTTTATTAACTATTATTTACTCAAAATAATTTTTTATGCTTTTATTTTTTATTTATTAATTACTCAAAATAATTTTTTCCCATAATTAATGGTCATTTTTTTTATAGACTCATTAACTAAAATTAAATACTCTTATAATATAAATTGATTTTTTTAAGAAAAAATAATTGCAAGATTTATTTAAAAAAAATTAATTGCAAGATTTATTTTTTATGGATCAAAATAAAAAAATATTTCTAGGATATATGTAAAATCAATTATGGAATATATTTTTTTATTAAATATTGCATAATATATATTAAATTAAATAAATTCTCACAATTAGTGATAATTAATTTTTATTTTATGCCTAGATTTTTTAATTATTTAAAATATTAAAAAAAAATTAATGGTTATTTTTTTATAGACTCATTAACTAAAATTAAACACTCTTCGAATATAAATTGATTTTGCATATTCTTCTAATTTGATTTTTTAATAAATAATTGTATTTTTTCTTTTTTCTTTTTTTGTTATTGATCAAAATAAAAAATATTCCTAAAATATATTTAAACTCAATTATATATATATATATATATATATATATATATATATATATATATATATATATATATGAAGAATTTATGGCAGTTCAATAAGTTTGCAAATTCAGCAGCTGCGTGCAACATACCAGCACCTCTGAAAAAAGCCTCGCCTGTTTTAGCTGTTAAATTTCAAATATATAGAAGCATATGAGAGAAATCTGTGGTACATGGACCATAAGGTTAACACAGGACCTATAATATTAGAGAAACGATCAAGCAGCAACTTGGTGAAGCAAAGTTGTTCTTCTGGCATCAGTTGGAGCCACCTTAAGGTTACTAGTTGAGGAGGAAATATTTGTCACCCCATGGCGAGTGATCTTCACATTGTAGTCTCCATGGGCAAGCGAAGCTTCAAAGAAGCCATAAGCATCTGTCATGCCTACAACTGAACCACCCCACTCGTGCAAAAGCTTGTCCACAACATCCCCAGTAGCCAAGTTTTTTAAATTGTTGTCAGTCAAACACATACGGTAACACCCTTGTGGCCTCCATGCTGCCCTCATTACCATTCCAGTAATTTTTGGGTAAGAATGCGCCTCCCTTAGAATCTGCTGCAAGTATTGTGCCTGTCCACAAAATCACCAATATTGCCAATAGCATTATGGATGATTTAGTCTTGTTACTTCATTTAAGTAAGGAATTGATACAATTTTCCGATTTTATTTCTTATTTTTCTGACTAAACTTTGATTCCGAAATGATCGATTATATTATATATGACACGACAGAATTAGACTGACCCCTCCAGAACAGTTTGAAGAAAAAGAGCAAGTTGTATTTTTTGCATTTTAGACCTCTTACCTGAATAGTTGGGCTGCCTTTAACATCTACTTCCGTAAGCCAAATGGGCATATTAGCAGAAGCGAGAGTATCAAGAGAAGCTCTCATATAAGGAAGGTTTGGAACAGTAAAGTGAGACTCTAGTCCAATACCCATGCGCAAATTGCCATTACCAGGAAAACTTTGGATTTCTTTCAGCTTTTGAAGGTACTTAGCGGGTGAAGCGGGGACATCTTCACTCTTTTCTATGGCATAAAATTCATTCAGAAACAATGTAGTGGTTCCGTCAGCCTTGCCAGCCAAGTTGTATATTACTGCAGAGGCATTTTGCCCCAACTTTTTTCAAAGTAAGAATAATGCATGTTTTCATTAACAACGTCCCAGGCTATAAGTCTGCCTTTGTATCTTGTCACAATTGATCCTACCCTTTCTTCGACGGCCTTTCGAAGATCATTCGGTGAGAGCGAATTGATCCATCCAGGTTGGTACCTCGGATTATCCCAAATCACATTGACGGCTATGTTGTGTTGCTTGGCAAAATCCATCATGGCATCGGGAACTGAATAGTCAATATGGCCCTGTGAAGTTAGAATTCGTAATTAAGATCAAACAATCGCACATTGAAATATGCTTGAGATGCCTAATAAGATCTGCGTTAACTTGCTTAACATATATATATATATATATATATATATATTCAGGAGCGAAGTTAGAATTCGTAATTAAGGAGGCGAAAAATGCTATTTTGATAGGTATTATTACAGAAATAACATTACTTTATTATGTAATATTGGCTTAAAAAAAATGTTATATCAAAATTGAATTATAAAACATAAAATTGTATGTTTAAATGATAATCTCATGTACAGTTATTCAAAACAAATTATTCTTCAATAGGTACTAGATTTTTTACATGTTATATACTACGAGATCGGACAAAATACATAAAATTATTTTTAAAAATTATTTCATTTTGATATCTTGTGTTATATTGTGTGTCTATCTAAATACATCAAATTTTGTATTTGATTGATTATTCTTTATATTTTTCATAAATTTTTTACAAAAAAATTATTTAATAGTATAAAGGATGTTAAAACCACTTGGATTCTTAGTTAAAAATTTATTTTGTAATGTTTTTAAAACATTTTTTTGCCTTAAAATTTTTTATTAAAAAAATCAGAGAAAAAAAGGATGAAAGTGATAAAAATAAAACAAAAAAGAGGGATCGAAACCAAACAAAGAATATTTTACGAATTGAAAAAAAATCATAATTAAAAAAATGAGACAAAAGTATAAAGTTAGGCAAACTTTCATTATAAATATATTAAAAATGTTTAGAAGCTATAAAAATTCATTGCACGGTGAAATAAATAATGCTTTTGAGTATCTGTGAATAGTAAAATAGTAAAATGAGTGTGGATAAATAGTGTTTTACATAGTAAATGAATAGTAAAATCAATGGTTTTATTTTAATTTTATTTATAATTTATAATATCATGAAGCAATGAAAAAGGTTAAAAAAACATAAGGTAAGCAAATACCCAGACGAAAAGGACAAATTCAAAATCCTTAAACTACCAAGAATTATTGAAATTTTTATGAAAAAATTAAGGGGGCAATTTCCCCCTTTCCCTTTCATGTAGCACCGCCCTTGTATGTGTTTATTCTCATCTCTTAAAGAGATCTCGAATACGACCCTATTTTTTTGTTTTGAAAAAAAAAAAAAAACTATTAAGTATATGTATATTTATGATTGTACCTCAGTCGGGTCAGGGCATTAAATCTCAGTTGTTGGAAATATGATTGAGGAAACGAACCTGCAAAAAGGAAAATACAGAAAAATGGCACCGGAAGCTGGCTACTAATCTCATCTCCACCCTTCATTTTGTACCCTCTTGACTGTAATTTGAACCCTGGAATCCATCACCATAAGCAATCCAGTCAAAATTAACCATGTGACTGCAAATATATATATATATATATATATACACACACACTTCATCTTCTGGTTTGCTTGCTTCAACTTGCTCACGAGGTTTCTTAATTTTTCATCCTTTATGTTCTGATGATCTGATCACTTTGGATGTTTGGTCTCTCTTACACACAATATGCGTGCATATTAAGACGTTTGAATATATATATATATATATATATATATTGTGGGATAAACTTATTATTATTGTTGTTGTTGATGATGTGAGATAAACGTTTGGTAATACATAAATGTGGCTTTAGTATATATAGTATTTAACAAAAATATATCGTTTAAGGTTAGGCCAGATTTATTTATTTAAAAATTAATCGAGCCTGATTTTATTCCTTTTCGAGGACTAACTATTAATATTTCATAGTTTTAGTATTAAGTGATGTGACATTACGAATAAAGTTTTTCAAATTAAGAATGTGAGTCTTATTCCATTTAGTGATTCAATAATAATTATGAAATATATTATTAACTAATAAATCATCAATCAATAATCATCCCATATCGAAAAAAAAAATAAGAAAATATAGGTAGAAAAGTTTTAATTCCGATTAGATTTTGATTTTCAACTAGGCACTGATTCATGCGTCCAATTATACATAGATTACCTTTTTCTTTTATTTTTAGCCCAACGCTGAGCAGCTCGATTGTTTAGCGTATTTACATAGGACTTCATGGGTTTGAGTCCGTCACCCACACTCTTAACGTCAAATACATCTTTTTTTCTTTTCTTTGTTTATCTTCATCTCCTTAAATAAATAATTTGCTTTATTTTTCATTGCAAACAATATTTTATTTTATTTTATTAATAATAAAAGAAGAATTTACAGCAGTATAATATATATGTCTGCAATAGCAGCAGCATACTAGCGCAAACTCCCCCGGCCCCTTTACCAAAATTTTGGTACATTGAACCATTTAGCATAACATAAACCACCTACAAGGCTACAGTATTGGAGAAACAATCAAGCAGTAACTTGGTGAAGCCAAGTTGTTCTGCTGGAATCGGTTGGAGGCACATTAAGGTTACTAGTCGAGGAAGAAATATTTCTCACGCCATGGTGAATGATCTTCACATTGTAGTGTCCATGGGAAAGGGAAACCTCAAAGAAGCCATTAGCATCTGTCTTGCCTGTTAATGGACCACCCAATTCGTGCAAAAGCTTGTCCACAGCATTCCCGGTAGCCAAGTTTTTGAAATTGTTATCAGTCAAACACATCCTGTAACACCCTTGTGGATTCCATGCTGACCAAATCACTATTCCAGCTATTTTCGGGTAAGAATGTGCCTCCCTTAGAATCTGGTCCAAGTATCGTGCCTGTCAACCAAAGAAACAATTAATGTCAGTATCATTATGGACTATTTTAATTACTACATTCAATTAGGGAACAATAGAACTATTGGTTCAGTTTTGTTCTTGTTTTACAATTTAAATGTTGATTCCAAAATGATCGATTATGTTATCTATAAGATGAGAGAAGCCTAACCCCTCCAAAACTACTTCAAGAAGCACTAGAACAAGGACAGGTTGTATTTTTCGAATTTTTGATCTCTTACCTGATCGGCCGGGTTGCCTTGAACATCTACTTCTGTGAGCCAAATGGGAACATGAGCAGAAGCAAGAGTGTCAAGAGAAGCTCTCATATAAGGAAGGTTTGGAATGCTAAAGTGAGACTCTAGTCCAATGCCCATGTGCAAATTGCCATTGCCAGGAAAGCTTTGAATTTCTTTCAGCTTTTGAAGGTACTTAGCAGGTGAAGCGGCACCATCTCCACTCTCTTCAATGGTATTGTAATCATTCAGAAACAATGTAGTGGTTCCATCAGTCTTACCAGCCAAGTTGTAGATTGCTGCAGAGGCATTATTTCCTAATTTGCTTTCAAAGAAAGAAAAATGCAGGTTTTCATTAACAACATCCCATGCTATAAGCCTGCCTTTGTATCTTGTCATAATTGATCCTACCCTTTCTTTTACGGCCTTTCGAAGATCATTCGGTGGGAGCAAATAGATCCATCCAGGTTGGTACTTAGGATCTTCCCAAATCACATTGTGTCCACGGACGGCTATATTGTGTTGCTTGGCAAAATTCATCATGGCATCAGTGACTGAATAGTCAATATGGTGCTGTGAGCCTTCGGTGCTATACCACTTCATCTCATTTTCAAATGATGCCACTGTAAACCTTGAGGTGAACCAATTTTGGTAGGCGGTGTTGGAGAGGATGTTCTTGTTTATAGCGCAACCAAACGGGAAACTTAGTTTCTTTTGTTCAATGGAGATTGTTGCATTTGGTAGGGGATTGCCTTGTTTGTCTAATGCTTGGATTCTCACCTTTGCCTTTCGAGTCTGCAAAGAATATATGTGTTCAATTAGAAGTGAAATTTTTGATACATAACTAGCTTGCAAAAATATTTCAATCAAAGAAACGATGAAAGATGGAACAATCAATCAATTTAACCTTTTCAATACTTTGCTCTTGATGAGACCTCCATTCTTTCTCAGTGAATGGTTGCAATGAGATGCTATCGACCCATATTTCGACTGAGGTGTTCTTGCTCTAAGAAAAATTTAGAAATTGTTAACAGGTACAGCAAACTAATTAATAGGATCATAATTTTGTTTTAGAAAAGCACCTCGAAATATAGCTCAGCAGGGCCTGATGTGTTCACTGTGAGGCCACCTTTAAGCATGGACCAGCACTTTGACTCAGCAACGACAGCACCAGCATATTTAAAGCCGGAAGCTGTCTTGAAAATGGCCTTTACCTGAACATTTCCCTGGCTAACTTGTATCCAGGCTGCATTAACACAAAGCACATTATTCACATGATCACATTACAAATCATGAAAAACCAGAATGTTATGTTATACAATTTTCTTTTTCCATTTTACTTGTAAGAATTTTTTTTTTTTTTCAGATAACAGTACCATCTTGTGAACTTAAAATGAAAAGAAGAAGAAGAAGAAGAAGAAGAAGAAGAAGAAGAAGTAGCAAGGCATACCGGAGAAAGTATAGAGGTGGTTCTTTTTCAAGTAAAGCTTCTGTGACATGCTCCCATGTGGATTATTTCTGGTATGAGCCACAACGTATTTGTTGCCATTTGATTCTCTATGTTCTATTTTTGCATCTCCAAATGTGGACCATGCTTTTAGTCCGTCATTTAATTCTGAGTTAACAATGATTCCTCCATTATACTGAGGTTTGTAAGGATTTTCCAAACACTGAAATCACACCATTAGGAAAAGAGAAAATGAATTCTCTAATTACACGAAGTCATGAGCAATTTTTGAGAAATAAATAAAAGTTAGTTGTAATTTGAGCTTGCCTCAATGCTGGCCGAGTAATCATAGGGCAGAGCAGTGGTTAGAACACCTGCAAAACATGTAATACTACATTAGGTAGAAGAGTAGTTAATAAAATGTGTAAGACTTAATTTCAAATAAATAAGTAGGTGCCTTCTTTTCTTCTTTTTAACTGAACAAATTATAACAAGTATATACATATAAGAAAAGGCTGATCTGGTGGATTCAAAAGTTTGGTCCTAAAAGTTATAGCCCTGTATATATTGATTACATGTATATTTATAATTGTATAGAGTTGGGTCAATGTCAAAATTTTTAAATCATGAATGTGGTTACAAAAATGATCACAGTCGCGATCATAGATTGCGGATTAATGATGATCGTGACAATCGATCTTGTGAATGTATTAGAAAGCTAACAACTATTAATAAATTTATTTTAATATCTTAAATAATTTAATATCATATAATAATAATTAAATTTACTATAAATAAAAAAAAAGTTAGTAACACTCTTAATAATTTCATATCACAACAAACAATAATAAAATAGTAACAATCAAATACATTTATCATTTTTTATAATATAATGGATGTTATTCATCCGAATAACGGTAATAATGATGTTGTAAAACAATAACGGCAACGGTATATAATATCGCTATTTATGTAAAGTATCGTTGTGCTATCGATAATGAGGTATAAGGATAATAATCAATTAACATAATGATTATTATTTAAAACTATAGTGGCTGCATTAAATCATAGTTGCTGCTCACAATATCTCGAGGAAAAAAATTAACCTGCAAAAAGGAAAATACAGAAAAATGGCTGCAGAAGATGACCAGTAATTTCATATCCAGCCTTCATCATATTATAGCTTGAGTGTAACCCTGAAATCCATGAGAAATCCAGTAAAACTTAACCATGAGACTGCAAATAAAAATAACCTACACATGTTAACATCTTAATATTATGTGAGAGAGAACAAACATCGAAAGTGATCAGAGAGTTTACAATACCAAAAGAGACTATATATTAGTCAAGCTAGAAGAAGAAGGAAGATATATATATATATATAGATTGTGAGAAGAACTATTTTTTATAGTTAATGTAAGATAAACTTTTGGTAAGACATAAATGTGGCTTCAGTATATCAATTATTTCTTAACAATTATTAATTGAGCCTGATTTGTTTCCCATTCGGTGATTAGCTACTATATATTAATTTCCATATTTTGGTAGAATTTAATTAAGCTCTTGGATTTTAATTTAATGCCGTTACTAATGTAATCTCGATATCGCTTTCCATTTATTTTCATTCTTTTACAGAGAGAGAATAACATATATCAAAAATGTCATTATTTAATCATTGTCTTTTCGTGGATTTATAAAATAAATATTGATAATTATTTTTTAAATCTTAAATAGTATTGATAATTACCCTTTAGATACTGTAAAATTTCTCCTTCCTATACACCCATTTCTAGCATAAAAATCATCATTAAAAAAAATCCACCCATGAAGATGAATTTGCAACGCTGAACACTAAAGTTTAAGGAGGCACGAATTGCATTTTGAGTTGACATTGGCTCCTGGGGAATTGGACTTTTCCTTAGTCCTCAAGTCAAGCCCAAAGTAAGCCAGCTACATGGTTTTTATGTATACAGCACCAAAAGGGCTAAGAACTATGTTTCATGCCTTAGTATCTACTAAATGCCTTAGTCTAACAAAATATATCAAAATCAAAGGTATTTTTTTCCTCCTGACTTAATGAATTTTTAATCAAAATTCTATACTTAATTAATTTTTTCACGTTCTTTTTAATATATTTCCTTCTTAAAAAAAAAAAAAAGACTTGTTTTTCCTTTATGCAGGAATTCTTAAGTAAAAGTTTGTAATATTCTAAAGAGTAAGTTTCAATTAGTCACAAATTGAAATAACAATATACACAAATTTAATATTTTTTTTATATCATTGCATCAAAAAATAAAGCAACAAATTTATAGTCAATAATATCAGTATAAAAAACTCTATTAGAAAAGTATGGTGCCATTGTGTGTTTTCTTTATACATAATTTTAATTATTTTATTTGAGAGAAATTAATTTCAAAACATCTATTTAAAAAAAAAAAGTAAATGTCTAGTTTCTTGTCTGTATATGCATAGTTAATTTCTAATAAAATTTTGTATAAAATGTTTGATTATACAAAGAAGAAGTAAATAAAACACTTTGATTCTATTTTTATTTTTTCCTTCTTAACAAATTTTTTTTTCTAAACCATATAAACTTGGTCTCCCTACATATGCCTTGTATTTATAACAATCACTTCTCTTTTTCACTTCTTACTTTTAATTATCAATTAATTATTATTTTTTTCAAAATTTCGACAATAAACTTCTAGCCTCTAGATCAAACATAACGAAAAATAAATCATATTTGTAAATAAATAAAATTTAATAAAAAAATTAATTGGATGAGAATTTTCATAAATAATGACAAATTAAAAGGATAAATTTCAAATAATAAAAGTAACATGATTTGAAATATATGTTAAATCTAAAATATGAAAACACATTATGGTATTTCTTCCTCGTTGCATTGCATAAAACTCAAAAAATAATTATAAATTTATCAAAATTTAATAACAAAATCAAATAATTAACAAAATGACCCCACAGAAAAAGCAACAAAAAAAAAATAGGGATGGGACTGTGTGCGCTAGGCGTGCTCTTTTGGGCTTGGAGAACCCGGTCCACGCGTGCATTTGCTAGACACGTGCAAGCCAACTCTCTTTTTCTTTTTTAAAAAAAGAAGTGATATGACAGACAACGCATTGTCAACACATACATCGACCCACTTCCGATGAAGCTATGATTGTACCACTTTTGGCCCTTTTAAAACTAATTTCACCACTATTTTTGCCTCAAAATCATTAAAATTAAGTCAAAATACATGTTTAGAACCTTGAAGCTCATTTTAATACACCTAAAAACCTCAAAAATCCAAATCAATTCAAAAATATTTTGAGATTTCGATCTTTTTTTTCTAACTATTTCATATTTTAAAACAATAGAAATAAATTTTTTTCTCCAATATGAACAAATCAAAGTCAAGATCGACTATAAAAGTAGCTAACATGGATGTTAATAAAAAAAATCATCTTTATTATTTAACTTGCATATCAAATACCTAAACATAAGCCTAAAATTATGAAAATACTATATCAAATGCCTAAATAAAGTCTAAAAATCACAATAATATCATCTAATATAATAATATTAAATGAATAATTCTTATGATTGTAGATGAATAGTAATCATTCGAAATCTTTTGGGTTTTCTTATAATAACTCATCTATTTTTTAAATAGATATTGTAGCCATTTCACCCATACCTACCCATCAATCCATTTAAGTTGTTTGATTAAGTACTTATATTTAATTAAAAATGATTTTTTTGACATTTAAGGATTTAATTGTAAGATTTTTTATATAGGTATTAAAAAATATTTATAAAAGTACAAGGACCAAAAACATAAATGAGGACCTATTTGTATGAAAATAATATACGGGAACAAACAAATTTCAAACCCTTCAAGGACTAAAGTGAATATTAGTGAAAAACCACATTGGATTATTATATTGTGAATATTAGTGAAATGCAACAACATTGGATTATTTTGTTGTGGAGCTGCAGGTGCAACTGCATTAATATATAGAGTAGACGCGTACCTTTAGTAGATATGACTTGAGGAAATGCATATGCTGTCAGCGACGGAGATGGAAAAGAAGGCTGAATTATGGGCGCGTAGAGCGAGAACAAGAAATCAAGTTAAAGGCCTGAATTTAGAGTGAAAGGAGAAGCCAATAAGAAATCAAGTTAAAGGCTCGAATTTAGAGTGAAAGGAGAAGCCAATAAGGACAGCTGAGAAATATGAGTTTATCAGGAGAAATCTTTTAATACTCAAAAAATAATTAATATAAATTATTTCATAAAGAGAAATAAATATAAAAAATAAGAGAAAAAAATAAAAAAGAGAAATTTTTTTGTCATTTTTTATGGATTGGGATATAATTTTTTTTTTTATACGTCTATCTTTATTCTTAAAAGTGAATCCATGAATTAACTACTTTACACGTAGCATTTATGTTATCATTTCCTATTCTATTATTTTATGCTTTAGGAAAATATATTGTACTAATATGGTCATAATCTTTTCATATAATTTTGCTTTAGCGCTAGAATCTTTTTTCCTTTTATTGTTACTCTGTAAATCAGTAGATATAGTTGTAATGCATGTTATACCAAATAAGAAAATATTACTACATACTTCATTTTTTTACATGTAGACTAATTACTTATTGAGTGTTATAAAATTTCTCGATTTATTTGTATTCTCCACCGGTGTATTTGTAGAGATGGAAATTGGAATACTTGTATAGATAATGTATTCCTTGTGTTCCAAAAAATTATCTTTTTTTCATTTTAAAATAATTATTTATTCTGTTTTCTATTTTTGATTGTCCAAAAATGGTTTGTTTAATCAAAATATCTAAGTAATATATTTTGTTCCTTCTTAACCAAAAAAAAAAATTGTCCTTATCTTTATTTATATCCATACCAAAATGATTGTCTGATTAAAACTTTAAATATTATAATTTCTTAAAATACCCCAAATCATTTTCTTTTCATTTCTTATTTATTTCTAACTAAAAAATCAATATTCTATACACTTTTATTTTTAAC